ATACCAAACAACTCTAACACTCACACGTTGTTGTTGTTGTGTTAGTGCCAGTGCGCGCCAGTCCCGTGCCCAGTGTTGTGCGAGGGAGTTTTGTTGTAAGATTCTTTTGAGCTTAGCCTTCGAAAAAAGAAAGAAAGAAAACAGACACGCCAAACGAGGGATGGGACGAGGACATTAGCCTTCGAAAGAAAGAAAGAAAACAGACACGCCAAACGAGGGATGGGACGAGGACAGGGTCCCCACCTGCACGAGCAGGATTTTGGAAGGACGATCAGGGGGACAGGTGGGGCTCTCCTGCTCCTGACAAGGGACACGACAGGCTCGCAGCGCGGTGCGCGGTGGACTCCCACATCCACTGGCGGTCTCATCTCAGTCTAGCGACCTGCCTCCAGCTTGTCGCTGGCAGTCTCTCCTAGGCACACTGACACAGGGGTGGCAGGCCGTCGATGCATGAAACAACGGCAGGCGAGATTCTTTTCCACCTTTGCAAGACGATCGACTTCTCACGATGGGCTTCTCCAGCCGCGTCGAGGCCCCGACCGAGGAGCTGCCCGGCCCTCCCGCCGTCGAACTCGACGTCCCGACGCCCGCCGACACCGCCGCGCCGACGCAGCCGGCCGCCGCCCTCCCCTCCGCCACCGATCTCGGCGTGAGCGAGGAGAAGCTGGAGCGCTCTTCAAGGAGGGGCTGGGCTGCCTCGGCACGCTCTACTCCCACAAGTACACTTGGGTGCTGCGGCTGACCTCCTTCCCGGACGGCCACAAGGCGGAGGATCAGGCCGAGGGCACCAACGTGGCCAAGTACTTTGACCGCGGCTGGTGCGCCACCGAGTCAAGCTGGGCTGGCCTGACAAAGGCTTGCTGCCTCTCGCTCGACGTCGGCAAGATGCGCGCCGGCAAGGAGTACGACTTGGACAGCCTCATCGACGACTGCGTCCAGGCCGGCGGCCGGCGCCCTCCGCTGCTGCCGTCTGCGTTCGCGGCGGAGCTGGAGACGAAGAGCTTCACCAACGGCAAGGACGACAAGCCGCTGGTGAAGGGGTTGTACAAGGACGCCTTCGAGGAGCAGTTTGGCAAGGCGACCGTGCTGAACTACCGCGGCCTCGGCTGGGGCGACGCGGAGGCGGCGCAGCTGGCGGAGGTCCTCGCGAGCGGGGCGGCGCCGCGGCTCGAGACGCTCTGGCTCTTCGGCAACAAGATTGGCGACGAGGGCTGCAAGGCGCTGGCCGCCGCCCTCAAGGAGGGGGCCGCCCCGAGCTTGAAGGCGCGACACGCCCCCCCTCGCCACTCGCCCCTCCCCCGCCCATTGCCTTTCGCTCCTCCCCTCGCGTGCAGACGCTCGGCGTGGACAACAAGGAGCAGCCTGAAC